CGATTAGCGATCCTTGATCCCTCTTGGCCCATATTGAACATTGCAAAGTAACTACCACCCCCCCCCCCTCCGCCTCCAAAAAATAAGCCTTTGACCAGTTTCCCAGAGGTCCAGGAAGAAAGAATATCAAAGGTGACAAAGCTGCACAAGTGGGTTCAATTAACATTCTTGGTTCAATGAATTAAAACCAGAAAGTTCCTAAGAGGCATAGAAATCACGGAAGGCAGTGTAAACCCCACCATTCTTGCACTCTGTATGACTGTTTAAAAAGTCCAATGTTGGGTGTTGGTGAATAGATTAATTAGCGCTAGGTTTACTTACCGTTACGTTGTTGACGTTGCGAGTAAATTTCCAAGCAGATGTTGGGTGGCTGCCGTTACATTTTCTGTTTTCAAACTACTTCCGCACAGGAAAGGGCAGCAAGTAAAACGTAACGATTTATTTACGGCCTCCCCAACATATCTGCTTGGAGATTTGCCGTTGCCAAGTTCTGTTGTGCACGTTGTAAGCAGCAGCCCCAAAACGTAAAACTTCTTAATCGCTGCCAGCAACCTGACAATGTTTGACTGGACGGCTCACGACCGTGCGGGCATTCACCCCGCGAGGGTCACGGTCTGGAGCGAACCAAAAACAATTTACGTAGCTTTAACCACAAACTTGGCATTGATCGAATGAAATAAATAAGATACGAATTTCGATAATATGGTTATTTTATTATATATACAAACCTACAGTTAACTTCTTGGTCTGAGGGAGTGTATTTTGTGAAGTAAAAAAAATCTCGATTGGGCCCCCCTCTTAACTACAGAACTTAGAAGGACTGTATGGACTTTCGACCCCGCCTTTCTGTAACTGTACATGTCTGGCAGGTCCTAACGGTGCAGGGGCTTTACTTACCGGTACTATTGGCAGTTGAGAATGTTGCTGCTGAGCGGTCTCTACTTGGCTGTAGCAGCTGTGCTACCGACATTAACAGTGGCAGACACAGGTAAGCACGGCATTTGTGGACAACTATCTTGTTGCTTTCGACAGTACAGTATATATAACCTAAGTCGCGCTACTACCACAACTCAAATCAGTGATCGTGAGTGCAACCACTGACCACGGGCATGGTCATTCTTGAGCTCAAGACAAGAACATGGATTGTAAGATACCTTGCGAACATCGTTAATTCTTCTATCCGCTTAGAGGTACACTGTACAAGCCTTGACTCTCTCTATATATAGTCTATAATCACGTCTTGAACTCACGATATGGAGTTCAGGGCCAGATGGAACCGATCTGTCTCGGGTCTTATCCCAGTTCCTTAAGAAAAGCTGTCAACGACTGTTGAAGATATCATGGCCTAATATACCGACTTGTGTGCATGTAGATATGGACGAAATTACGCTCCAGTCTCAACAAAACATGGTCGTTACCCTCTACTATATTACGATCCTGCTGCATATTTTCTCCCCCAGCACCGTGATATATAACAAACTTACAACACTGTAAACTTTATTAAGCAATCAACTCTGTAGTCTTTAACAAGACTAATTTAATAAGACTAATATTACAATTTGTTTTACCCCGATCCAGGGCGGTTCTGGTTCATAGCTGACTTCCACTATGACCCGTCCTACATGAGGCCGCATCGGCCAGGCAAGGTGAGTGAACGGAACTATAAAGACAAAGACAAAGATAAAGACAAACTGTGTTGTCAGGCTAGCTAGGGAAATGGGATCATGCATATGGTAATTTCTACAATAGCTGAAGACAAAAGTAAAGGTAGAAGCAACATGTACGATATTTCTTGAAATGTTATAATTAAGGCCACGTGGTTAGTCATTCGAACCTGATGAAGGCTGGAGTACAGACTGCGAAATATTCGGAAAGATTCATAAACTTTATAAACTACAACGTATTAAATTAAATTATTAAATCAAGTTCTTAAGTTCTTGTTTACTCCAAGAAGAAATATAGCTGCTTATAAATTACTAGGTTAGTTTTAATGTCAAATGTAGTTATAGACAGGTGGTTATTTCTATATTGTTTAATTCAACATTTACATGTTGTAAAAGTAATAAAAGTAATTCAGGAAATGATATACGAGTATACGGGTAACCCCCTCGATAAGCCACTAAACTAGGAATCTTGGGTTGCCTCGCACATTATTCATAATTGTAATTGTAATATTTTTTTATTGTGCAAACTGCAAGTGCATATAT